TTAAGGTCCATTCTAACCCAGCCCATTCTGTGATAGAGGGAGATGTGTGCAGAGGCTGACACTGAGGCTTGGAAAGTAACAGGATAGTAAGAGCAGTATTATAATGTGAAGACTGAAGGAGCAGGATCATCAGCAGGGTGTCTCAGATGAAGCAGCTGAGACCACATGCTCATTATCAGTCTTTTATTGAGTATCCCTGCCTCTGTTGGAGCAGCTACGCTTTCCTCATCCTCATTTTCCTCAGATGAATGGAGATCCTCAATCAAAAAGGAATGAGTGGTATTAAGTGAGCAAAAAACATAACTCCAGCTGTAGAAGCAACAGATAGCAAGATGTTTCTGTATCTATAGTTTGAGAAAGCTCAAGGAGGGAAAGTTGTTTCTTTTGTCTCCTGGTCATCACAAAAGATAAAGCTACAAAAAAAATCATGGATCTAGGAAGCTGGCCGTAGTGTGCTTCCTGCTACCATTATCTTTCTGGGGCTGAGAGCTGTAGCAATGGAAGCCAAAGAAGTTGTAGTTTGAGCCTTTTCAGTTAGTGGTATAGGGAAGGGAAGCAAGGGCTTTGGGAGATATCCCTCAAATAATGGGGAGAACTAAAGGGAAAAACCAGACAAAACCAACAAACCTAGGGATATACTGGTTTCAAACTAATGTAATTAGTGACAGACCCAGGAAAAGGGGGGTGGGTGGCCTGGGGAGTTGGGAGTGGATGGACCTGTGGGTAAAGGAGGCAACGGCCGGTAGCGTTGGTGGATAAGGGAGAAAATGGCCAGGATGGTAATTTTGGCCAAACTGGGGGTAAAGTTTTACTGTTAATTTAAATAGAGCTTGTGCAGCCACACAGGGCACTGACTCCTGCTTTGGCTGGGAATTGTGTCTGTTAAAAAAAGTTATATCAGCAAGCAGGACTAAAGCAATTGTGCAACTGTGCAGTTGCCGTTGTTTCCTCCTCACTTCTTGGTCTCCTTTGAGCACAGTGTGGGATTTCCCTTTCCTGTGGTGCTGTGATGATCTTAGGTTATGTCTGCATGGTCGTGCAGTTGTACTCTGGGAGTGTTACAGAGTTTTAAAGGGTAAGATGAGGGTTCACTGAAAATGGGAGGAGACCAGAAACAGAAATTTAAGGAACGGAAACTGGAGCTAGATGAGGAGCAAGAGATAGGATCTGAAGTCCAGCTCTTAATGAAAGAAGAAACAAGTGCCAGAAATCTCATAGCCTTCTCCTTTTAACTCTTTGGGTCCTGGCATGGTTTTTTACCATTTTGGGTTTTTTTTCCTTTGTCTGGTGTGTTTTTTTTCAGTGTGTGACTGAACTGGAGTTTAGAGGTTGTATTTAAAAAATAGGGTAATCCAAGATTAACTTGTCACTGTTACCTTGCTAAAGATTTATTATTTTTTTCCTCCCCCTTCTCCTTTACTCCTCAGACTTAGGTAATTAGGAAGAACTGACTGCTAAAGAGAAAATGACTTCTCTAGAAAAAGGTAGGTGGTTCACATGATATCTGAGCAGACAGGATTAAAAGGCTTTAACTTGAATTCTAAAGACCAGTTACACTGTAGCCAGGCTCCATTCCTTTAAACTCACTCCTTTTATATAGCTGTTAGGAGGTAGTTATGTGACTTCCTTATTGCAGTGAAAACCAGATCTGCCCAGATGGAAACTGAATATGGTTTTCTAATCCAGCTTTGTATCAAAATACTACAAGTTTGTCACTTGTACTGTCATCTGTGTCTATGCGTGTCTGTCAGTCCTTCTCTGGTATTTAGAACCTGTTGGTACTGATTTCGCCAACCTGAAAGTAGGGCAATATAATGGTGCTACTACAGCATTTTTGAAGTTCATTAGATAGAGGATTCAGACTCACATTACTGCCCACAGTATGAGGAAAAAAGCATTGTGTGTAGCTATGCTCTAAGAAACTTTCTTGCCTTCACCCATTGTAAGGAAACTGTAGTGTAATAATACTTAATTCAGCTGAAAACCATGAACTTAAGTAAAATTAATTTCAGTAAACATTATCACACATATTGGGGAATTCAGAGCAGAATGCAGTATTGCTGTGAATCCCAGGGTCTATTGATTAGGAATGAAGCAGAACTAGCATGTTGGTTTTTCTTAAACCTTCACTTGGACACATGGTAGATAGTACTTATAGTAGCTACGTAGCAAATAGCTGTTTTTCATTTAATTATTCCTTTTAAAATGAGACTGCTCTGATTCTGTCAGCTCCCAAAGCCTGATTTTGCTTTCAACCTATAAGTAATATTGTCACATTTTCTCCTTGGTGGCTCCTTTTCATGTCTGCACCTACCTAATCTTGTATGGGAGCAGGAAGTTGAGATTAATACAATTCAGATCCATGTTTGTGTCTTGTACCATTAGTATTGTTGAGCAATACACACTTGAGTAAGGACTTTTCTGACTCATGCTTGATGATTACTGCTGCAAAGGACTGTTTTACACAAGCAGCGTGCAATTAAAATCTGTAACTCTGAAGTACAGAAATTAAGTGAAAAGTTACGATGAGACTAGAACAAAGTGAATGGTGGTAAAGTTTCCCTCTGCTGTTTCTAAATTTTAGTTGATGATGCCTCATCACCCATCCGAGGACCTGGAGATGGCATGGAAACAGAGCAGACAGCTGAATCGGTGGCAGTAATCACTGGAGCCAGTGCTACAAACCATCACATTCACCACAGCCCACATAAAAAGACAGTCTCTTCCCTGAGTCCTGGAGTTCTGCAGCTTGGGAAAGTACATGCTGATAAATCAGTGGAGATCGAAGCTGTTCGTATATTAGTCCCCAAAGCAGCTATCACCCATGTTGTTCCACCTAAAACAGCTAAGGTAGCTAAATCAGTGGGACATAAAGGAGACCCGTTCCACCAGTCAGATGGAGCTGCAGATCCCAAGAAGGAACAGACAGAGCTGAAGAATGCAATAGAAAAGCTAAAGAATTCAGAAAAGCGGTTGTTACAGGATAAAGAAGGTCTCTCTAATCAGCTGCGTATACAGACAGAGGTAAGAAATTAAAGGTATTTTCTCTCACCCAGCTGAGCTGCTTTGGTTTATATAAGGAGTTTGTGAATGTGATGGAAGAGAACTGCTACGACACTCTAGCCTTGAAACAAATAGTTTCCCTTTTGATTTTAACAGCTCAGATACAGAGCAGAAGTATGTCTAAGTAATCCAGTGCTGCTTCTCTGACAACAGGTGAAAGTATCAAAGGCTTGAGCTGGGAGAAACACAGTAGAGGGCTGCAGGGAAATGGGTCTTTCATGAGGAAAGATTTTTTGCTCCTCAACTCAACCACTAAGTGAAAAATGTTATGGCAAAGAAGGGGTGACTAATTTTCTGCATAATATAATCTGTGGATGTCTTGTCTAATCCTTTGTTATCCTACTGATTCAGGACTTGAATACTACTGCAGCTTTCTTTGTTTCCTTTAGCAGGCTTTCATTCTTCCTCTTTGGCCTCTGTTAGAATTTAAACAAGAATGTGTTAAATGTGCATTAGTCTCAAATGCTTATGCTCACTGGAGTGGATTGTGAGGCTTGATATCCTCTGCACTGGGTGCATCCCATTCTGGAAAGAGAAAGGCAATTTACTGTTAGCAATTTGCTATAACTTGCCCTGCGTTCTGGAAATAGAATGTGTTTCATTCTATATTGATAATTACCAGACAGTCCGGTCTAATTCCAGGTGAATCGGGAGCTGAAGAAATTACTTGTTGCTTCTGTCGGGGACGATCTGCAGTATCACTTTGAACGGATGGCTCGTGAGAAGAATCAGCTAATCCTAGAAAACGAAGTCCTGGGACGGAATCTGTCTCAGCTGTCTGAGCAGTTAGAACGCATGTCTATACAGTGTGATGTGTGGCGAAGCAAATTCCTAGCAAGCAGGTATTTCCTCTTGGAGAGCTGTTCAAACAGCATTCTCCTTCACTCTTTTACTCTCTATGCCCATTGCAATGCCTGGGAATGTGCTTATGTAGGCAGAGGACAGCCACAACAGCTTAACTGACACCTACTGTGAAATCTGAGTATATAGAAAAGGTACAAAGTCAGTAATCTCCTAGTAAATCTGAATAGTTCTGCTTTTCAGAGGTACTACAGTGGGTCCTAAACCTCCTAAAACCTTAACTCCACTTCTTGTCAAAACATAGCAAGTTCTTAATTCTGATAGACTGTGTGCAGTTCAAGGTTTAAAAATATCTTCTGGGACAGCTGTCTTGTCTTAAAGGTAATTGGCTTGACTCTTCATCCTCATCCCCCAGCAAGGTACAATCATCAGTTTGTGAAGAAGTTGATTTAGTTAAGAACTCTGCTTACAGTGACTGGGAAGGGCAGCTCAGTATGGAAGAAAGAGTAGGGGCACCTTTTCATTAAACACTTGATTGTGTTACTACTCAGAACCTTACTATTACTTCTATAACCATAGGGTAATGGGCAGCAAAAGTCAGGAGCAAATCTTAAGCTGCTCTGAATGTCAAAATCTCATTTGGCAATGGATTAGACTTGGTAAGTGTAGGTGTCTTACCAGATATATAAATAGTGTTCTAGGATTTTTAATCTCTTACTGTGCTTGGATATAGCTAACTAAATTTTAATTATGATGCTTAATGCTTATTACAAAAAGGCCTTACTGCTTGAAGGAAATGGTGATGGAATACAGTGTCCTCTCTTTAATTTGCTGGTCTTAAGATGTTTTTGCATATTGAATGAATATGTAAATATGTAAATACTTGTGATAGTCCTAGCTAGGCTAGTCCTTAGCCATCCTAATTTAACTTGTTTCTTTATCATTAACAGGAGTTGTGAGGTCAGGGATGCAAATCCCTTCTAGGAACAACAGTGTGGCGATGTGCTTAGAGTAGCACTGTGATCTTGTAACGTTCTGATTTGTTGAGATCTCAAATTCCTAATTAATTGCTGTTGTAAATGCAAAAAACAGAATTACATTTAAGTGTCCCAGGTACCTGAAATAGCTGTGTGAGGGGTCCATGCCAAGTCTCATGGCATAACAAAATACAACAACAGTTGTCTCATTTGTAGCTCTTAAAACATCTAGTTATTGCCCCTAAGAAAGGCACAGAGGTGAATGCAGCTGTCATCTTTAGAGATGAATGTGAGAACTGTGTTAGTAAAACAAGATGTATTTAGCTCTTGATCTCTCAGGATCCTTGTCCCCCATGTTCACTTACCCAAGGTGTTTTAAAATGTCCGTTACTAATTTGTATTAAGTGATGTAAGCAAGTCAGAACATAATCTTGCACTTTTTGACTGTAGTTGAACAGAAACTGCTCTTAATTCATGTCCTTTGTAATAAGGTTGATAAAGGTCCTGCGTGGGAGAGGGGGCTGAGAACAGCACCTTAATACTTAGTTTGAGCTGACAAGTTACAGTCTGTATTAGAATAAAGGTGACTTTCAAACTGCTCACTTACACTACTGATTGGAGATATTTTTTTTTTCAGGGTTATGGCTGATGAGCTAACCAATACCAGAGCAATTCTTCAGCGTCAAACCAGGGATGCACAAAGTGCAATCCAGGACTTGCTGAACGAACGTGACCAGTTCCGTCAAGAGATGATTGATACACAGAAGTACGATTTTTCTAATCCAGACTACATCTATGCAAACTTCTCATTTCTGTCAGTTTATTCCAGGACAGAGAAGAATCAAAGAACTTTCCCCTGTTCAGTGATACTCAACAAAAATCAATTACGCTAATAGATAGTACGGTCACTTTTCAGTCTCAGAGCTGAAAGAGCCAAAGTAGCATTAATTCTTTCTTCATTCCCTGGAGATGTGAGATCTTAGGGGTAATATACTATAGAACTAACATCCCTCATATCCTCAGACTTTCTCTATTTAATTGCTTACTGTCTTGACTTCAAGTCTCCTCTGTCATCTTCCAAAACATACAGATTCTTCTACCTGCTTTGGCTTTTCAGTGCTTATCCTGCCAGATGTCAAATTAACTTTTAACAGTATTAAAACACTGTGTTGGTGAGGCCTTGTCTTGGAGAACAGCCTGTTTGCCTCCTTCTTTTGAAACACTTTTTTTTCCTTTTTTTCCCATTTTTTTTAAGTTAACATTTAGCTTGTGCAGTAAGTCTTAGGAAGGGATGGTTTATCTGAAGTACACTGTGTGCTGATGGTATGGAGTACAAAAACAACTAATAGTGCTTTTTTCCTTCCTGCACAGGCTGCTGGAGGAGCTGATGGTTTCTCTTCAATGGGGGAGACAACAGACATACTATCCTAGTGCCCAACCCTACACTACAACAGAACTAGCATCTGTGAATTGTAAGCTAGCCAAAGCTGTAAGCTCACATCTTCTTGGAAATGTTGGCACTCACAGTCCAAAAAAGACTTCAACAGCTGTGGAGTTTTGCAATACCCCTGCTGAGAAAATGGCTGAAATGGTATGAAGTCTTCATACATCTCAATCTGTCAGCACAGAGTCTTCTTTCCAGGCAGAATGCTTTGCTTTGTTAACTACTTACTATCTTGCCTTTTAAAAAAACTATATGCAGAGGAAACATGCTGAATAGAGCTGTCTGTTTCCCTCATTTTAAAAAAAAAGAGGGGGCAAAAAACCCAACCTTAAAACTCCCCAAACAAAAAATATCACCTCACAGAAAAGAAACAAACAAAAAATGGAATAATAAGCACAGCAACATAAATAATGTGATGATACATACTTTTTTCTTCTCTGTCCCCAGCACCACAAATAACTGGGTCAAATTTGTTTAGGGTTAGTGTGTCAGGAGGAAGCGAACTGACACCTACTTAATTGAGTTTAAAAACTGAGTGGGAGAAGAAACCTGGTTCAGGTAGGAGTCAGTAATAATGCTTCAGCAGTAGTGTCTGTTGCCCTAAAAATCAGTTCTGTTGGAAGTGGGTGGAAACACAGAGAGAAGCTATATGATTACCTTTCAAGATAAGGTTTCACTGCAGGAAGCTGATGTTTAAATAGTGAACCAGAGTAACAGTTTAGTCTGGAAGCAGTTAAATAATAGTTGAGCAGCAGGAGGTTCCCAGTGCCGTGTTTATCTGTGTTGCCTGGTTTTGCTCAACTCTGCTAAAAAGATAAGAATTTTTTTTTATTCTCAATAATATCATACCTTGGATTTCTGATGGACATTACTAACTTATAAACAGTACTTCATGTCTGTATATTGAGGGTCTGGATAGATGGATAATTAGTTTTCAAGTTGAAAACTTTGCTTTTGAGCAGAAATCCTCCCTAGCTGTTAGAGAAGGATAAATGCCATTAAACTTAATAGATACCTTTTCATTCTCAACTTTTCCATCCTTAGGTGCTACGTGTACTGGATCCAGCTGCACGTACAGAAACATCAACAGAAGTTTCTTTTTCTGAGACTTCTCCATCCTCCTTCCTTTCCACAAAGAAGAATATTGGAAGGTTTCACCCATATACAAGATATGAAAATGTAACTTTCAATTGTTGCAATCACTGCCAAGGAGAGCTGATAGCCCTTTAAAAACACAGCGAATGCAACCTGCACATGTACTCTTTCTGAAGAACTACACTAGTTGATTTTTTCAGGTTTCCTTTTTCCTATTTCTTTCCATAATGGGTGGGTTTAATATTGGAAATTATGCACTTTCTGCTTCTCTGCCTCTTGAAGTTAGGGACTGACAAGATTTCCTTAGTCTCTGGGATACTTTTACTATTTTTCAGTCTGGAAAGCTACTTACTTTCTTCTACAAAGGCAAGACCAAAAATGTTATGCTGGTCCAATTTGTAGAGCATAGAGATGCCCTTGACTATCTAAGGTTTACTGTCTTATAAGCAAATCTCCTCTTTAGAAGGAGACAAAGGCATAAGTATACCAAAGTAAATGAAGTGCTGATAGGTTATTTTTAAAAAACAAAACAAAAACCAAAAACCCAAGGCAATGGAAAATGGTCAGCTCCATGCTTTTTTTCTTAACCTTAGCCAAGGTTATGAACTGTCCCCAAGTCTATAATAAAAAGGAGTATGTGCAATGATTTTTCATAGCTATAAGTTCTGAAATAAGAACACAGACAGTGTTGCAGCTCTCCTGCCAAGAAGGGGAAAGAGCTTGAATGAACTCTTGCTATAATATATAAATAGTAACTGTTTTTAAATGGATTCTGGAAAACTGTGCAGGGTGAGATTATTCTTGTTTCCATAAAGGCAAAATAATGGCTTTTCCATCTTTTAGCTTCTAGAGCGAAGCTGTTGCATAGCTGATCCTCAGCAAAGACAGACTGATACACCTCCTTTAGTACCAGTGTTGAAACTTGACCTAGTATTAGAACTCAATCCTTGCCCAAGGTCTTCCTGGGTGTTATGGGAAGCTGAAGATAAGCACTAAGTTTGCACAGGTACTGGTAAAAAATATATTTTTTTACTTGTATGCTTTTATAATCTTGATGTAGGTTCAAAGAGAAATTTGAACAGATAATCTGCTAAATCCAAAGAAGTCTAAGTAAGCTGCAAATTCAAAGAAGAAAGGTAGGAGGATGCAAATATGCATTTTAACTTCTTAGTTTCACTCCCAAATTTATCATATGTAGCTGACTAGTTTATGGAGTTTCTGAAACAGTTGGTTTTACCCAGTTTTCCTTTGAATCTCATCCATGATCAGAATATCTAAGTTACAAGTTCTTGCTGTTGCTGGCTATGCTTTGGTTTGCATGAAGAAAACTACAATAAACTTTGTTTGCTTGCTTTCAAGTAGTAATTCTGGATTGAATCTAGCTGTATTTCTGACCTTGTTCTCTCTGCAGCATAAAAGGAACTATATGACATTGAATTGTAAAACCCTTCACTCTGCTGCTCTGAGGTAATGAACCAAGAAGCACTTCTTTTGCAGCTTACTACAATGAGGAAGATACTGTGCACCTTTGCAAACTTTCCCCCTGCATCTGCTTGCCAGACACAAGAAGTGTTCCTCGCCCTTGGTGTCAGGGGAAGGTGCAGGAAGGAGGAAAGCACCTGTTACTCCTGTTTCCTGTTAGCATGTGAAATTTTCATTTCACATCCATGCCCTTTATCTATGTGGGTAAAAGCTGCAGCACAGTACCCTCTGGTCAAACACCAGCACTCTCTCAACATGCCTAGAACTATCTCCAAAACAGTAAGAGAAAAATACTAATGCCAAATTTGCTTTGCATCTACCACACCTCTGTCTGTTAAAGTACTTCCAGAAAACACTTTGTGAAAAAATGTAAGAACAATGCCAGACCATGAAGTCTGTTGGAGACAGACTGGACAGGACTCCCACTAACTTTGACTTCATGAGTTACCTCAGCATGTTCTCTGCCAAGAGTTCACAATTTAGCTGGGTAAGGTGATGTAGTTTATTATAATTAATTTAGCACACACAGACATGAATACAAGGAATCCAGCTTCCTTGACACTGGTAAAGGTCATAATTCACACAACCTTTTCATTTCATGGAACAGAAAACTATGGAATATCATTCACAGAACTAAGTCTCAAAAAGTGTACACGTACATGTTAGCCTTCCAGTAACCACTTGCCTTGAACTAAAATAAAAGTTCTCTGGTCCAGACAGACTTAACAGCTGGGCAACAGATCAACAGAAAGTGGTACAAGAAACAGCGTTTTCCAACAACATAACACCTTGTACAGTTTTCATCACAAGCAGCAGCAAACAGCACTAATAATCCAGCAAAAATTCAACATTTTACATAACAGCCTGCATCCAGGAATTCATGGTGGAGTTGAGTATAAAGTGCCTTTTAAAGACAGGAATGTGTATTTGCCACCTTTGCATACTGATCTTGCACTCATTTTGATTTGGTCAAACCAAGAAGATCCCTGAGTTATATATAAAAGCAGGCTTTTCAACAAAATTACAAATAAATAGATAGTAAAATCATTGTCAGTGAAAGGAATTGTTCAACTTACTTGAAAGCTTTAAAAACACCACAAAAAGTCCGTAGCTGTATGATCAAGCCATAAAAATTAAGAGGGTTGCCACCAAGCACTCTGTGGTTACATCAGACTTTCAACTGTAATGGTCTGTGAAGCGAAAGGATTTAGTCTCTGAACTAATGCAGCGGATGTTCTGCATCTGCTTTGCCCTTCTGGCTTCTAATCTAAGCTGCCTTGCTCTCTCTTTAGCAGCCAGTTCTTCTGCTCGTTTTTCTTCTCTCTTTCTTTTTAGCCATCTGTGGAGAGAGAAAGAGGACTAGAAGTACTGACAGTTGCAACTGAACATTTTACGTCACCTGTTCAAAGGAGACTTGCCCCCATTTAACTAGAGTCACCTTGTCCTGTAGGATAAAGTTGAGTGTCATGGCTGAGCCACTCTACAAGCCTGCTACTCCCAAACGTGGGAGGCACTACTTTCCATCTCAGTTCTCCTACTGCTGCACTCACCTTTACCTCCCCATTTTGTTGAGCTGATTCAGCTCATGGACTTGAGAGGAAAAAAAAATCCTTTTATTGGATTAACTTTCTGCTCGTTTAATGAACTGAATCAACCCAAGCCAGTTGCAGAACAGGCAAAAAGGGGTAGAGGAAATGATCTGCCTTTTTCAGCAGAAGCATTTCACTATTTCAGCTCAGGTTCTGACAAGCAATTTCAGAACAGTGAACAAACAACATCAAGGACCTGACATTTTTGCTAGGGTGCAAGTTTATGAGGGCATATCCATGCAAACAAAAACCCCCCCAGACCAATGAGGACTTCAGCAGTAAAGATGTACCATAAAATCACTACAGTCTTAAGCTGGTAGACTACAAAATTTCAAATATGATTCCCTAGGAATGACCCTACTCACTCTTTAAAGGCTCTGTTGCATTCCTCTGTTCTTGGGAAAAAGGCAATTCCCTCAGCTTGGCGTCTCAACATCTCCATCTGTTTTTCTTTCATGTGTTCTTGGTGCTTTTTTTTAAGCCATAACTTGAAGGCTTCTTCGGGATTCCTGTTCCTCTCCTATTTAAAAAAAAAAAAAAAAAAAGAAAGAAAAAAGACGTATATACACGAGGCTTCTCATTAAATGACCTTTATATTATATTTTATATTTGATTTTATATTGACCTTTATATTTTATTTTATATTGACCTTTATATTTGTATTAATCACATGGGATGTTAGAAGCAAACTACAGCATATGTTAATCTGTCACAGAATATATACATGAGCAAGCATTCAAAGTAGCATGTTTTAAAAAATACTGAATTTAGCTTTTCAAGCCCATCACTGCAAGACAGAGGAAATTCACAACAGAGCATCTGAATCTTCAGGTTTTGGTCAGGTCACGTTCATTAACCGCTTGCCAACAAGTTCTGATGGTAAGGAATACACTTCAAAGGGTTTTCTGGCTGCTTGTTCACTGCAGGGTTCAGTCAAGTAATTCTCCTGATAAAAAGGAGTGTTATTTTATCTCCTGTGATTTTACAGTGATTAAGTTAATATATGCATCTTCTATGACACAAGCTGCCCTGCCAAGCAGAACAACACTAAACACACAAGTCAACTGATCTTCACGGAAAACAATGTAACAAAGGCATTTCCTATCACTGTAGATGTCCATATGCTTGGCTAAGAACACAGGCTTTGCATTTGGTTTTATCTAACCAGAGCTCTATAGATCCCAGTCCTGCATAAGGGAAATCTTACTTTGCTGTTCAGGTCTTCTAGCTCCTTTGCACGACGAATTCGCTTTTCTTCTTGCACTTGTTCTTTCTTCTTCTGTAACCAAGCTTTAAAAACCATCTCATTCTCTCTTCTCTTCTGTTCTTCTTGTTCCTTTTTCCTTTCTTCTTCCTTGAATGGAATTAAGAGTGAGTAAACTTAGTTTTTAAGACAATCATCTTAATCTCCAAAGGCCTTTATTGTCACAATAGACAAGAAATAAGTCCCTTCGGACTATATGAGAGGACACAAAAATACTGGTGAAACAGGAATACTCAAAGACTGCACCGTAACAGAACTACTTTTAGGAAGAAATGAGTTTGAGCTCTTCTGTGGTTCATGTGGTTCAGTCCAACCCTTTTTGTGATTCCCTCCATTTCCATGACACAACTCAATTCACAGACATTTCAATAGCAACAGGTGAAGACTTCTAAAATTAAGCCTGCCCAGTAGCTCTGATTGGCTTTAAAATCAGTTTAAATTGATGCATTTTAAAAATTAATGCAGCTCTCGGGCTTGATGGATCACTAAACCCTAAAGGATATTTAACTACCTATGGATTGCAGTCACTACCTTATAAATAAGGATTTTTTTCTGGACATGAAGTTGTCACATATTTACTTAAGGAGTATTAATAGCTTAACACTTTTTTCAAGTTTACAAAATGAACTGTTTTTTACAACATTGAGAAAAGTGGGTTTTTTTAATTATTAATCACATTTAAGCTAAGGAAAAGTATTTGCAAGGAGGAGAAAAGTTTTCAAACAACACTTCAGAAAGCTGATGAGGACATTTTATCAGGTTTTGACTCTCTTTGACACAAAAGCTATAATCCTCACTCGTTTCAACACTCTGAAAAATCTATTCTTCTTGCAAATAGATGATGTTCCTCCCACCAACACAACTTTCAGACTATCCTCCAAATTTACAATGTGCAATTTACTGAAATGAAAGAAACACCACCAAAATAAAGCAGATGGATTCCAGTAATGTCAAGAAATGTTTCGTGCCTGTGAAACCCATCAAAGAACTCCATTCAAGAATGA